GAGACCGATGCGAGGTAAAAACTACAGTTCATTATTGCCTGGATTAGAACAACTTTTGGGAAAGCAAGGCTATGCGAAATTTAATGGAAACGTCAGCTCTACTCATATCATTGTGGAAAAATTCCTCTATCAGTCCTTCATCACCTTAAACGGAATTGGGTGAATACATCTCATATTGATTATTTATTTACAACACTACATTCAGTTAACTAAATTTGAATGAATTACTTCTTTTTATTTTTGTTCAGAATGTCTTTATCACCTTGCGTCTGCATTTCTTATAATCCAGGATGAATTGCAGTCAACTGATTATTCAAGGATCTCTATAGAGCTTATTCCTTCAAAAACATGAAAAGATTCTTTAGTAACACTTGCTTTTAGTAATCTTTAATGTTTCTGTCTGTCTCGGATCTCTCAACTTGCGACTATCTGCCTTATTTTCCTTCTAGTCTATATGCTCTGTCATTAAATTTTCTTGCATATATTCTATCCTCTCTTCTTTTTCTCTACCATTAGCCACTGGACCGGCACAATCTCCAAAGGCCTGAGACTATGGAGTCACTTTTTTACCTATTCCGCGTAACGCATGACCCTATTTACAGAGACTGGGGCCGCCGCATTCTCCTAGCCTTTGAACGCTTTTCGCGTGTGCCAACTGGGGGCTACGCTTCCATTGGCGACGTCACTAATTCGGCGGACGTGCAGATGCGCGATAAGATGGAGTCATTCTGGTTGGCTGAGACCCTGAAATATGCATATCTTCTATTTCATGAACCTGAGCCCGATATGATGATACTTTTGCCCCTGGACTCCTGGGTTTTTAACACTGAGGGCCATCCATTCCCTTTACCAAAGCATTCTGACCTGGCTGCTACTGGACACGACTTGATAGCCAAGCCCTATTCGAAAAACTCAACCTGATATCTTCCTAGATTCTGCTTCATTTGTGCCTGCAATGAGCACTGTAAAGTGTCTTAGCTGTGTCCATCCCTGCGCCTATCCATTTAGTTGTGATTCTTTTCTCGTTAACTATTTTTGTCACTTATTTACTGTTCAACATTGCTCGAAATAGGCTCTCCACTTCCAATTGTATTTGTATTCGTCAATTCCCCCTTAAACTACATGCTAGTATTTGTTTTATTTTAAAGTATTTACACACTAAGTCTCATATCTACTTGGGTGTATGTCGTTTTTCATATAAGCTTTTGGCTTATCTTGCCTTACCATTTTAAGTCTTTCTGTCTGTGTGTGCCCACCAATTTATATGTACCTTAATTATTGCCTTTGCAATTGTGCAACTACTTTACTCCTATACACTTGGCAGTATTTCTGTTTAGCAGCTGTCACGCTTAGCTCTTTTGTCCATAGGTTATTTTTCGTATCTTCTACACTTAAAAAATTGCCTTGGTCCTCTAATGGGTTTTCCCAAATCGCCAACACATTGGAACTCTGTTGTGCATTGATTTTGTTTGTTTTATTGTTACTGGGCCTTTGCAGTCTTAACTATACCGAATATGCCTTCTCTTTAGTTATAAAACCCTCTTTATTAGCCTCGTAGAGTTTCGAGGTCGCATTGGTTGCTTCAACCTAAAGTCTTTTCATTGTTTTATGTCAAGTTTATTGTATTATTTTTCTGAATACGATTTTGAAGTTTTTTAGGTATTCCTAATCTCCCACAAAGAAAGCTCGCATAACAACTAGAGTGTCTGCCAACTCATTCCTGCTATTCCATTTCATAATAAATTGCTAAGTTTTCTATTTTATTCTTTAGTGTATAGCCTCTGGCTGTTCATCAAGGTTGTGCTTCCTACTTATATTTCTCGATCCTAATATTCCCGTCTTTCTTTCATTTAGCCATATCAGCATATGTACATTTCCTCCAGTGTTGCCTTCTCTGTTCTCATTTATTTCTTCCCCCCCAGATAGTTGTGTAAGCATGCATATGCATATTCATTGCCTTTGCCTATTTTACACCACTGAAAAGAGAGCTTTTAACCCATGAAAGCTGCCTGTCAAGCTCTTTTCTAAAGCTTTTTGTTTGCCAGGAGTGATTATTTTAGAAGTGCAATTTTCAACTATCTCC